GGCTGCTGAGGGTGCTGGTGCCGCCGGTCTCGTAGGTGCTAGTCCTGCGAGTGCTACTGGAGTCGGAGCTGCTGAGGGTGTTGGCGCTGAGGCTACTCCTGTCAGTTCTGGCGGCGGTCCTGCTGCGGGTGCTACTGGTGCTGCTGGAGGTACTGGAGCTGGAGGTGCTGTTGATACTGGTGCTGCCGCTGGGGGTACTGGTGCTGTCCCTGCTGTCTCGGGAGTCGCCGCGCGGCCTCGGCCGTACTTTGTTCCGCTCCTTCAGCAAGTTCTTGGTCTTCCTCCTCCCTTAGGGTGTCCACCGCCTGTCCACTCGCAGTCGCAGTTACCACCAAACTCCCCACTGCCTTCTCCTTCTCCGTACACTGGTCCTACTGGAGGTCTTGCTGAGCGTCGTGAGCCTGCGTCTCGTCATGCGTCGCCTGTTCGTGCTGCTCGCACTAGTGGTCGCAGTTCGCGTCAGCGTCCTCCTCCTGTCCCTGGCACGCACCGAATGTCTCTGCGTCCGTCCACTGCTCCTCTGCGTGCCCCTTTGCCCTCTCCTCCTGAGTCCTCTCTTCCTGCGCTTGCCGACCCTGAGTCGGACTCTCTTCGTGCTGCCAGTCCTACTGTCACGCGTCTCCTTGCTACTGTCGTCACTGACCCCTCCTTTGAGTCCACTGCCGCGTCTGCTCTTGTTGCTGAGCTCGTCGACTTTGCTGCTCGCTGTCGTCTAGACTACGCTGCTAGTCTTGTTGCTGAGTCTGCGTCTGTCTGTTCTCCGTCCGTCGGGGGTGAGTGTACTCTTGGCACGGACGTCCTTGAGGACAGGCAGTAGGTTCCAGTGTCTGGCTGCTGCTTCACCTCATCTCGCGTCCGTACTGCTTACCCCTGAGGGAGACCCGGATGCACTAGACATCCCGACTCCGCGCTCTTACGCGGAGGCCGTAGAGGGTCCCTACCCCTCTCAGTGGCAGGCAGCTATGGATGCAGAGATGGCTTCCTGGAAGTCCACAGGCACCTACGTTGACGCGGTTCCCCCTCCTGGGGCGAACATCGTCAGTGGCATGTGGATCTTCAGGGTGAAGCGGCCGCCGGGCTCTCCACCTGTCTTCAAGGCGCGGTACGTGGCTCGTGGCTTCAGTCAGCGGCAGGGAGTTGACTACTTTCAGACCTTCTCTCCCACCCCAAAGATGACCACTCTTCGGGTGCTGCTACACGTAGCCGCTCAGTGTGACTATGAGCTTCACTCCCTTGACTTCAGCACTGCTTTCCTGCAGGGTAGCCTGCACGAGGAGATCTGGTTGCGCCGTCCACCTGGCTTCACTGGGACTTTCCCTCCTGGCACCCAGTGGAGCCTCCGACGGCCAGTCTACGGTCTCCGCCAGGCACCGCGCGAGTGGCACAACACACTGAGGACTACACTTGCGGCTCTTGGGTTTCCTCCCTCTACTGCTGACCCGTCGCTATTTCTACGCACCGACACCTCTCTGCCGCCGTTCTACATCCTCGTGTACGTCGACAACTTGGTCTTTGCCACAGCTGACACTGCTGGACTCGCCTACGTGAAGTCCGAGCTGCAGAAGAGACACATGTGCACAGACCTGGGTGAACTGCGCAGCTACCTTGGCTTGCAGATCACCCGGGACAGAGCACGCCGCACCATTACCCTGACTCAGTCACACATGGTGCAGCAGGTCCTTCAGCGCTTCGGCTTCACGTACTCCGCGCCTCAGGCCACTCCTCTGTCTACTCGCCACTCGCTCTTAGCTCTGCCTTCGGATGAGTCCGTAGAGTCGAGTGGCCCGTACCCAGAGCTTGTTGGCTGCCTTATGTACCTGATGACCTGCACACGACCTGACCTTGCATACCCTCTTAGCATTCTTGCACGCTATGTTGCTCCTGGGAGACACAGACCAGAGCACATGGCTGCAGCGAAGAGGGTGTTGCGCTACTTGTGCAGTACGTCGGGCATGGGGCTAGTGCTTGGAGGGCAGATTCCAGTGGTCCTCACTGAGCACGCGGACGCTTCTTGGGCAGACGACCAGGCTACGCAGCGGTCGTCACAGGGTTACACCTTTAGCCTTGGTTCCGGCTCTGTTTCGTGGCGGGCTACTCGCTCGTCTTCTGTTCTCGGCTCCAGTTGTGAGGCTGAGATCTACGCTGGGGCCATGGCTGCACAGGAGCTTCGCTGGCTTACCTACCTGCTAACTGACCTCGGAGAGCCGCCTCGTTCTCCTCCGGTGCTGTACGTAGACAACAAGGCCATGCTAGCCTTGTGTCGGGAGCAGCGCCTGGAGCACAGAACGAAGCACATTGCTCTCCGCTACTCTCTTGCTCGTGAGTTGCAGCAGCGTGGTCAGTTGCGACTTGCGTACGTGGCCTCTGAGGCCAACACTGCTGATGTTTTCACCAAGGCACTTGCGCCTTGTGATCATCAGCGCTTCTGTACTCAGCTTGGTCTTGTGCCTGTCTTGCCTCACTTGCTCACCTCTTGACCTTGCTTGTACTGTTTTATATATATACACCTGCTCTTGCTTGTCTAGCTTTCTATATATATGTACTCATGCATGTGAACTGGCCTTGTGGCCTTGAACTTGTGCTCGTAATGTGTGGTGACTTTGTGATCCACCCTGAGCTTGCTTTGCTTTGCTTTGCTTGACTGGTCTTGTGACTGCTTGTTCTCCCCCACTTTGCCTATGGGGGTGTGTCAGAACATTATAGCTTATGCTTTTGTGTAGGCTGTAGTGGGGTAGCCCATATGGGGTACAACCCAATTAGGGTTAGTACTTGTACCCAACTGTTTCATAGTTCATCCATTCTCGTTCACATTTTCTCAAACACCTCTGTACTCGGCAAATTTTCTCCCCTTCAGGGAACCTCATGTTTAGTACCTCATACTGCAGTCTACCCATCCCTCACGACCGTCCGGTTTCACCCTTAACCCCCTCTCTGTGTCGTATCTAAGGTCTAAAACTAACACGGGGAGCCTGCACTTCAGGGCTCCCCTCCCTTCCACCGCTTTCCAGGAAAGCCCCTCCCAAGGGGCTTCACTTCCTTGGAGGCTAGGAGAGAAGCTTCACAAACCCATGTCCGCGTGGAAGCGGATCATCGTGTGGTAAAGCAAATAGTGTGGAGGTGCATTCTTGGCCCATCGGTGGCTTGGGGAACAGACAATGCGACTGTGTGAGAGTACGACGACTTTGGTGAACTTTACTCGCTTGATTATGCTTTATTGCACATAATCTAGCTTAGCTTTATTTTATCTTGCATGCTTTTGCTTGATTTCCTAGGTTCGTTGCTGTTAGTGTAGTTATTATAGGCACCGAAGGTTGAGTGCACTGTATTCTAGGCTTTTCGGTTGCCACCGAATTGCCTTCTACCGAATTAGGGAAGGACCCGTTCTGGACGCTTCGCGACCAGCGGAACCTTCTAGTAACACCCGGGTTACTGCCTTTGTGTCGAGCCTATATATAGCCTCGCCTTGTACCCAGGTGGAATATTCAGTAGATTTATCTATTTTGAACCATATCCTCACACTTGGTAATCAGAGCGGGTTTACACGCGAGGTCTTCCACCGCTTAAAACCGGCCTTTAAAAAGCGCGGGGGCGACAACGAAAGCGCCGATACGTGTATGTAAAACCAGTTCCGCGCATTTTTCCTAAGTCCCCCTCGATCCGGTTTTTAAACATTCCTCAGGATTATTGGCAGAAAAGTTGGAAAGATAGATTCGAATCTCAATGATCCCGAGAATATGGAATTTTGGAATTTGGAGTGTCAGATCGAGTTTCTCCTCAACGGCCCAGATTGGACGTGAATTTCGACTAAGGGAGAATTACGCGACCGATAGAATTCGCGCTCGTCGATTCTACAGTCGATTCGACTCGCAGTAAGTCGACCAGCATCTAAAATTCATTTAGTTTCGTCGCGCATCTTCATGTAAATCGCCATCTGGAGGGAAATAGTGATCGTGGAGTTACATGCCGAGCATGAGCAGATACGTGCGGCGCTCCCACGACTTGAAAAACTCCTTGCGAACCAATCGGTAGCCGCAGCAGCAGCAGCAGCGACGACGGCGACACCGACAGCTATATCTGCGACAACGGCAGCAGATACGGTTAACCTCGAAGCAGTGAAGCGGAGACAACCAGACGCGTTCGATCCTATAGTGAAAGGTAGCGATGTTCGTCGATTCGTAGCTGAACTCGAATTTTATTTCGAAGCCGTTGGATCCACGACCCCGACCCAAGACGCAATGCGCATACGGCTCGCAGCAACACTGTTACGAGGCCCCGCTCTAGAGTGGATTAGCAATGGTATAGTCCAAGGTGAAGGGACATGGGCGCAGTTTCGTGCAGCACTGATCGAACCGTTCGATGCGCTGAACAGTATCTACAACAAAACACGACGCAACCAACCAAATAGTGGCTTGGGGCGATCGGCACCACCCATGACTGCCGACCCAATGGAGAACGACAAGGGCGATGCGAAGTAGCGGCTAGCAAAAAATGAGACGTGCGAATTTTGCTGCGTTACAGGTCATCGTATCTTGTCATGTTGACAAATGAAAAGAAGGCGTGCAGAGCTGAGGGACAAGAACAGTGCGGCACCCCCGAAGTAGAAAACATACAACGTGGCAACTTCAGAGAGCGCGAAAAAAGGAGAATATGATGGCGCGAATTTAAAATGTCACGACCGGCCAGCACCAGGGAAAATCGCTGAGACAAATAGAGACCCCGCGAAACAAGACCCTGCACCGACTGGGAAACTCCAGCCGTACACCTTGATAAGTAAGAATATTACTTCTCGTGGGTTTCAAGCCTTTATTAAGGGAGAGTCAGAAATTAAACCGGTACCGGGTAATATGGGGACCCTACTCTGGAGCGCTAATAACGGTCGAGCGTTCCGAGGAGCTAATATTCTCTCCCAGCAGCACGGTGTTAAGGCTCCCTGTGAGAATTGAGGAATGAAGAAGAGAGGGTGTCTGACCCTAGAATCCACATTCTCGGACTCTGACGCCATGGCCGCCGTTGCTACCCGTGCCCTCGCCTCCGCACCGGTTGCCTTCGAGGCTACAAGCCAACGCCTTGTCGCCGGCAAGGCTCTGCGCTCCGCTGTCCCTGCCATCTCTGCTGTGCGCGGCCAGAGGCTCGTTGCTCGTACAAGCCTTGAGAAGCCCACTCGCCAGACCTACTTCGCCTCCCCCCAGTCCCTGAGCTACCTCGATGGGACCCTCCCCGGCGACTTCGGCTTCGACCCCCTTGGCCTGTCCAACCCTGAGGGTGCTGGCAACTTTATCGACCCCAAGTGGCTCACCTATGGCGAGCTGATCAACGGCCGCTGGGCTATGCTCGGTGTTGCCGGCATGATCGCTCCCAAGATCCTCGGCAGCTACGGCATTGGCCCCAAGATTGTGTGGTTCCAGTTTGGTGTGATCCCTCCTCTTGGCGGCTACGAGTACAGGGCCGATCCCTATGCTTTGTTCGTCCTCGAGATCGTCCTCATCGGCTTCGCCGAGCACAGAAGAGCTCAGGACTACTACAAGCCCGGCTATGGCTCCAAGCAGTACCTGCTGGGTCTTGAGAAGGTTCTCGGCGGCTCTGGTGACCCCATCTACCCCGGTGGCCCGGTCTTCAACTTCGCTGGCCTGGGCAAGACCGAGGCTGAGATGCACACCTACAAGACCAAGGAGGTCACGAACTCCCGCCTTGCCATGCTCGCTGCCCTCGGCTTCTTCTTCCAGGCGTGGATCACCGGTATGGGCCCGTACCAGAACCTGCTCGACCACTTGGCCGACCCTGTGAACGACGACAACCTCCGTTCAACCAACCTCCTCCAGCTGCCCCACACCTCTCGACACACACCCCTTGCTAAAACCCTAGCTCCACTCCCATAGCACCCCCCTAACACCCTAAACCTCAGGCTCACACACATCCACCTCCCTCAAAACCCTAGCTCCACTCCCACAGCACCCCCCTTAAACCCTAAACCCCAGGCTCCCACACATCCACCCCCCTCAGCGACAGCTGCAGCAGTGGGAGACGAAGGAGGAGGAGGAGCAGGGGAGACCACACACCCGTCACCCCCTACTCGCCACCCCCAGACCCTAACACAGGGCAGGGCGGGACGGCGGGTAGGGAGGTTAGGGGGGGGGGGGGGGGGCGACGCGTGGTCTCCCAGGGCGCCAAAACAGGCGGCAGAAGGGGCGATGCTCGCCCCCCTCCCCCGCACGCGGCCCCCTCAGGTCGCCTCGACAGGCAACGGGAAAAAGGGGGGGGGGGGGGGGCGGTGTACGTGCCCCCGGTGCGCCGCGGCTGGCGACGGGGCATGGCCGGGGCGGGGTCGGGGCCGCAAGTGGCGGCGACGGGGCCGCTGGAGGCGGCGACGGGGCCGCTGGCGGCGACGACGGGGCCGCTGGCGGCGGCAATGGGGCCAATAGGAGCGGCGACGGGGCCACTAGGGTCGGCGACTGGGCCGCTGGCGGCGGCGACGGGGCCGCTGGCGGAGGCGACGGGGCCGATAGGAGCGGCGACGGGGCCGCTAGGGTCGGCGACGGGGCCGTTGGTGGCGTCGACGGGGCCGATAAGAGCGGCGACGGGGCCGCTAGGGTCGGCGACGGGGCCGCTGGCGGCGTCGACGGGGCCGATAGGGGCGGCGACGGGGCCGTGAAGGGGCTGCGAGGGGCCTGGAAGGGCGGCGACGGGCCGCGAAAGGGGCGGCAACGGGGCCGCGAAGGGGCCGCGAGGGGCCTGGAAGGGCGGCAATGGGGCCGCGAAGGGGCCGCGAGGGGCCTGGAAGGGCGGCAACGGGGCCGCTAAGAGTAGGGCGAGGGGCACGCCACGGGGCGTGCCGAACACAGAGTAGCAGCGGAAGCAGTTAGGTGGGCCCACAGGCCAGGACCGTAGATGCTCTGATAGCATGTGAGAATTGAGGAATGAAGAAGAGAGGGTTTCACTAGCAGCAATGAGGATACATATAGCAAACCCTAGATGGGTTGTACTCGCTATAGAGCACCCCACTACAGGCTAGAGAATAACATTCTGACACTCCCCGCCGTTCCCCACAGGTGAAGCTTACACAACTGCAAAGGCTTAGGGGAAGGTTTAAGGCTCAGGAGAAGCTGTACCAGCTTCGGATAAATCCTTCTAACCCTACTCAGGTGATACCTGATATTGAGACAACAGCTTCGAGCGCAGGACCAAGGGATGATACATTTGATCTACCCTATGATCCTATAAGCAACACCATCTACAACTACTCGGAGCGGCAACAACCACTAGTACTCGAGGTGATCTGCAACAGGCGACGCCTCCAGACCCTGGAGGACAGTGGTGCGTCCCACTCAGTGTGCGACGGCAGACGTTGGAGAAAATTGGAGAGTCATCGGAGGAGACCCAATCTACAGCAACGATGGTGGATGGTACGAAGCTTCCCATCCACGGTGAGTCAACAATGCAGCTGTAGATAGGAGCATTAAGGTGGAAGCCGACGTTGCCGATCACGAACATCAAGGGATTAGATTTCATGTTGGGGCGTGATTTTCTGAAGCGGTTCAACCCCGAGATAGAGTGGGTCAACTAGAAAGTGTGCATCTACAACAACGGGGAACGTGTGGAGCTGCGAAGCTGGACGGATACAGGGGATGTCCCGGAGACATTGCATGGTTCAAACGGACAGTAAACGAGAGTAACACGGGTTACTTAGCACTGGTGATGACAGTAGCAGAGGAGGAGAAGCCAAACTTGGAGCTACCTGCACTAGTACAGGAGGTGTTGGAGCAGTACAAAGATATCATGCCAGACGACTTGCCTGCAGGAGTACCTCCATCGCGAACCCACGAGCACGAGATCGTGGAGGAACCAGGTGCGAAACCCGTCTCACGTGCACCATACCACCTTAGTCCGATTGAACTGACAGACATGAAGAAGCAATTAGAGTATCTACTGTCAAACATTGTACATGTTACTGTTCTGTAGGCTACAGTGGGTTTAGCCTTAGGGGGTACAACATTCTAGGATTTTCCTACTTGTACTCCCAATCTTGCTAGTACAATCACTTCTCTCATTCTGACATGGTATTACGAGCCTAGGTTAGGAACCTAGGACCGAACGTTACTAAGGGCCCACCGATCCGCTAGTAGCGCCCTCGTGCGCCTTCTCTTACTTGCGCCCTCGTGCGCCTCGCTCCTTGTGCGCCCTCGAGCACCCCGCTTTTCGGCCGCGTCGCCCGCTAGCCGCCCGCACGCGGCCCGTTTTTTTTTTGCCCGCGCAGCCCGCTAGCCGCTCGCGCGCGGCCCGTTTCTAGTGCGCGCGACCTGGTAGCCGCCCACGCCGTCGACGCCGCCCACGCGTAGCCCGCCCTGGCCTCGCGCGGCCCCTAGAGCAGCGTGCGTGCTGCCCGTCGACCGGAGCGTAGGCCGCCACCTTGCCCACGAAGGACGCCGCCCACGCGTAGGCCGCCACCCGAGCGTAGGCCGCCGCCGCCGCGTAGGCAGCCGCCCCAACGTAGGCCGCCGCCTCACTCAAGGCATAGGCCCGCCGTCGCGCCGCCCTACCTGCCCGAGCCGCGCCGCCCGAGTCGCGCCGCCCTGACTGAGCCGCGCCGCCCCACCTGCAGCAACTACTGTTCCTGTTCCTGCTGTTACAGCTGTTCTTACTGCTACTACTGCTACTGCTACTGCTACTGCTGCTACTGCTACTGCGACTACTGCTACTGCCACTATGGCCAGTCCTACTGTTCTCACTTTTGACGCTGAGGGCCGACCGATTAAGTTTGATGTCTGGCTCGATGACCTGCACCTGTTCCTCCAGATCACTGCCAAGGACGATGTTTCCCTGTATGACCACACGTCAGGCGCCGCTCCCACACCTGCTGCTACTGCTGACAGTACTGCTCGCTCACAGTGGCAGACCCGTGATGCTCACGCTCGCCTAGCCGTTCGCAGCCACCTGCCGTTAGATGAGCGCGAGTACTTCGGCCAGCATAAGACCGCTAAGGAACTGTACGATATTGTAGTTGCGCGCTACTCCTCCCCTGCTACTGCTGCGATAGGCCGTCTCCCGCTACCCTACCTCTTCCCCGATCTGGTTGCCTTTGTCACTGTCGCTGACCTCATCACTCACCTCCGTACTAGTGATCTCCGCTACCGTGCCGCGCTTCCCCCCAATTTCCTAGCCAAGAACCCACCCCCGATGTACCTCACACTGTACCACCTAGTCACCCGCCTCCCTGACTCCCTTCGCACTGTCAGGAACCACTTTCTCGCCCTCTCCCCCACAGACGTCACTGTCGACCTACTCGAGAAGGAACTCCTAGCAGGTGAGAAGAGCATTGTAGCTGTAGGTGCCTCTCGTGGCAACCCTCACACTCCCTTCTTTGAGGGATGCTCCCCCTCCCCCCTTCTCCCCTCCATTGTATCCGCTGCTGCTGTTGACTACCTCGGTGCTGAGGGGGTCGGGGCTGCGTCTGCTCCCAGTGGGAGGCGCAAGGGCGGCAGGGGCAAGGGGGGCAGGGGTAGCGGAGAGGGAGGCGGGGGCGGCGGCGGTGGAGGGGGTGGGGGTGGTGGGGGTGGTGGAGGAGGTGGGAGTGGCGCTGGTGGTGGGGGGGTTAGTGGCGGAGCAGGGGGTGGTGGCGGCGGCGGTGGTGGGGGTGGTGGTGGCAGTGGTGGCGGCGGTGGAGCTGGTGGCGGGCGAGGTGGGGCGGTGCAGCGTGGGGGGTCCGGCGGAGGCCAGAGGCAGCAGCAGCAGCGTCCCGGCGAGACTCCCTCACCCCAGCAGCTCCGTGAGTGGTACTCTCAGCGTGGGGGGTATGGGGGTGGAGATACCTGCCCGTACGTCATCCGCACAGGTGACCGCACTGCCAGACCTGTGGGAGGTTTCACACGGCACAGCGCTGCTTCTTTCGTCTCGACGACGCCTGGCGCGAGCAGTTCCCTGACGCCTCTGAGCTGCCCCGCTGGGCTGATTTGCTTAAGAAGGGAATTGATATCTTTGCTCTTGATTATGATGCTATCCTTGGTGCTATATATGCACTGACTATTAGTGTTGAGGGTGACTGCTACCTGAGTGTACCGCCCGACCCGGGTATTGGGACCAGTGAGACTGCCGCTCTAGGTGCTAGTGCGTTTGCTGCCCTAGGTCCTGGTGAGGTTGCTGCTCTAGGTGCCAGTGAGTCCGCTGCTCCAGGTGCTTGTGAGTCTGCGCCTGCTGGTACTGCGTCTACTGAGGCACTGCACACCTTCACACTGGACTCGGGTGCTTCTCGCTGCTTCTTTCGTGACCACACTGTCCTTGAGCGGCTAGCTCGGCCTGTTGCGGTCTCTCTCGCTGACCCCTCTGGGGGCCAAGACCTTGCGACCTCCTCCACTGTCCTCCCTTATCCGAAGGTTCCGTCCGGCACCCTGTCGGGTCTTTACCTCCCCTCGTTCTCTACGAACTTGGTGGCGGGCTCTGCTCTCCAGGACGGGGGTGTTCACCAGTTCACCCCTGCCTATGAGCGTGTGACCCACTGTACGTGTGCTCGGACGGGTCGCCACCTGGCTAACTTTACTCGGCAGCCGGGGTCGGACCTGTACACACTGACCACTGAGTCCCCTCAGGTAGCTGCGTCTGCGTCTCAGGTAACCCTGGACGTGTGGGGCCCAGCCCGCGTCCGTGGACATGGCCACGAGCGGTACTTCCTGCTGGTCGTCGACGACTATACACGCTATAGCACGGTCTTCCCCTTGCGCACCAAGGGTGAGGTCCCTGATGTTTTGATCCCTTGGATCTGCGCTGCTCGTCTCCAGCGCCGCGACTGGTTCCAGTCGGACTTTCCAGTCCTGCATCTGCACTCTGACAGGGGTGGTGAGTTTTCCTCTAACCTCTTGGCAGCCTACTGTGCAGAGCACGGCATCCGCCAGACGTTCACACTGCCGGCCTCTCCATAGCAGAATGGGATTGCTGAGCGCCGCATTGGCTTAGTCATGGAGATTGCTCGTACC